TATCATGTGACCCCATTTGTTCTTGTTCCAGCGGTTAGCTAATGTTTCAGTGTTTCCACCTGTGTCTCACCCCTGTGTCCTATTAGTTCAACAATGTCCTGTGTATTTAAGTCCCCGTGTTTAGTTCATTCCTTGTCTGGTATTACATGTCATTCCATGTTGCCCTCAACCCATGATTCCTGTGTGTTGATGTTCCAGTAAGTGTTTTGTAAATAAGGCTTAGTGTTTTTGTTAATTCCTGCTATTCCAGTGTGTTTAGGAATGAAAGAGAGAGAGCAAGTCATGACAATTATATGTTGTTTACAATTTTAAAAAAATGGTCTTAATTAAAATTTATTTATTTCAGGTGAATTTAGTGTAAAACATAATTTAGTAAAATGTTAAAAGTGCAAAATCATCGAAGTTACTGCAGTTAACATGATGTCACAATCACCACCAATCTTGTCCATACAGATCACTGGAGAACTACAACTCCTGTCATGCACCACCCACTTACACCTGTTCCGGTTCTTCTTTGATAACACACACAGCTGGGAGCTGCTCAAAGACTGATTACATGAACCATATACGTATACAGCACACAGACTTTGTACAGAGTAGTATCCGTGTCTGTGGGAGACACAGATGTATTAGAGCGCAGGTGTCAAACTCCGTTCCAAAAGGGCCGCAGCTCTGAACAGTTTAGTTCCAACCCTAATTAAACACACCTGATCAAACTAATTGAGTCCTTCAGGCTTGTTTGAAACCTACAGGTAAAAGTGTTGGAGCAGGGTTGGAATTAAACTGTGCAGGGCTTCGGCCCTCCAGGAATTCAGTTTGACACCCCTGTATTAGAGGAACACTTTGTTAGGGCAGTATAGCAGCACCCCTCTGCTTTTATAAAGGCAGTAACACCGGCATTTCAGCTGTCCAATTGCCCGCTGTACAACAGACCAAGTATGAGAATGGGCATCATTGTATCTGTGGTCTTGGTCAGTTTGTGGGTTGTTTAGGGGGGTTAACAGCCACGTCTTTAATGGATAACCGCGGTCTCCTGATATGCAGTTAAATAATTACGCTCAATAAAATAAAAAAAATAAAAGAATTAGCAGCTGGAATAATATCTTTAAATACATCACTCACCAAGAAATCACCCATCGCGCACCCTACCACCTTGGAGCCTCCTCGCTGTCTCTCTTACCAAATTTGGACTCAGCACAGAGCTCCAAGTGGAAAGCTCTTGGAAATTTGAAACGCTAATAAGCCAGTCATCATTGTGGGCCAGAAAATCACAGTGATCGCTAAGAAATGCATTCCCTTCGGATTATTGTGTCAATTAAACCATTTTATCAATTATAAATTAATAGCAATGTTTTTCACATGTGTTGATATGATACTTTGTTGTTTGTAATTTAACATAATTGGCTCTAGGAGTCGCCAGTGGAAATAAAACAAACACACATAGGAAATACACCTACGCCAGACATAAAGTTGGCTCAGACCAACGCACATTCTCATGTTAATTTCATCGTTAGTAAATCCAAACATGAGCGTGAAACCTGGTGTACCCTGGTGTTTTTGACCTTTTGTTTGTTTACCATGTTTTATTCTTTGCCGCCTAGCCTAAAAATTTGCCTGTTTTTGACCTTGAATTTTGGATTGCTTTGATGCTCCTGTTTGTGACCATTGCCTGCAGACTTTGCAGTAATACACTGCATTTGGATCTGCACGTCCATTGTCCAGAAACTGTTGTGTACAATTATTATCACAACATGAACAAATGCTGTATTTTCTATACCAGGGGTATCCAAACTCGGTCCTGGAGGGCCGGTGTCCTGCAGATTTTAGCTCCAACTTTCCTCAACTCCCCTGCAATGATGTTTCTAGAAAGCCTAGTAAGAGCTTGATTAGCTAGCCCAGGTGTGTCTGATTGGGGCTGGAACTAAACTTAGCAGGACACTGGCCCTCCAGGACCAAGTTTGTACATGCCTGTTCTATACTATAGCCTATAGCAGGGGTGGCCAACCCTGTTCCTGGAGAGCCACCTTCCTGCAGATTTCAGTTGCAACCCATATCAAACACACCTGCCTGTAATTTTCACGTGGTGTTCAGGTCCTAATTAATTGGTTCAGGTGTGTTTGATATGGGTAGCAACTGAAATCTGCAGGAAGGTGGCTCTCCAGGAAAAGGGTTGGCCACCCCTGGCCTATATAGCTTTAACAATGTGGTATTTAATGCCACCATTTTGAGGATTATCTAAAGATTTACATTTCACCCTATGTTTTGTTTGACCTTGTTTAAATCAGAAAAAGCATGTGAATTACCATGGTTTACATAATGTATGGGGAAGTACTTGTACAAACCAAAATACCATGTGTTTATTTGGTTTACACCTTGCATTGTTTGGTCTCACCAAAACAATTATGCAGGTTGTATTCTGCTAGCTCAGATAGTTTCAATGACTCCCCAGGGTATCTTTTGTGTATGATGTAGTCAGAGTTTTATTTTTAAAGGAATTGTTCAGCCACAAATGAACATTCTGTCATCAATTACTCACCCTCAAGTGGTTAGAAACTTTTATGAGTTTCTTTCCTCTTTTAAACACAAAAGAAAATATTCTGGAGAAAGCTGAAATCTGTAAGCACTGACTCCCATAGTATTTGTTTTCATACTATAGAAGTCAATGGATACAGGTTTTCCTTAAAATAAATTCTTTAATGTTCAAAAGGAGAAAGAAACTCATAAATGTTTGGAACCATTTAAGGGTGAGAAAATCTAGTAGGTATAATTTCATTTTTGGCTGAACTATTTCTTTAATTTTGGCATGTATGTAATTTTGATAGAAGCCACTTTTTTTGAGCTGTCAAAACTTGCAACCTATATTTATGTATTAGGTAGGTCTATAAAAGGATTGTATAATTTATTTTCGAAAATCGGTATTACAGGCCTGTAGCCAGGGGGGTTCAGGTGGCTCGAAAGACCTACCCCTCACTGACAAAGGTCTAGAATTAGTCCCATACATGAGCTTATTTGTCCTATTTTGACTGCTATTTCGTCATATATTGTAAAAATAATTCATCAAAGGAGGCTTTAAGACCGAGAAGGAACTGCGATGTCATCTTTCACTACTGATCCACTGTATTGTTGTTAAATAGCGAAAACATTTTACAAGTAAATTTTATTCTAAATCTCGGACTTTATTCTTGAAAGAAGAAAAAAGACCAATAAAATGAAGCACCAAAAGTTCATTTTAAAGCTTATAAAATGTCATTTTAATACTTATTATCCATGAATTTTCAAATGTACTTTTTAAAAGAGAGGCTAGAAAAATCAGGAAGCTCTACATTAAGCATTAAGCTCTAGATTAAAAACTCTTTTTAGTAAAGCATCGCATAATGGTATGATGCATAAGTGTGCTCCATGCAGGTGAGCTGGTTTGACAACCACCTGTAGAACACACTCCTCCTGTCTTAATGCACCAGACATTGTGTTAGAAACTACCATATGCTTTACATGTTTGTTTATATAACTGCGATTTTCTGTTATAACACTCAATTTTTGCATCTCATTTAAATACACTATAAACAGCAGCTACGCTAATTATTTTCTTTATTCTCTATTTCCACCTGGGGATACTCATCCCAAAGCCCCTAAAGACTATGCAGTGCCATTGATGTAATTCAAGACCAGTGAAGAGATGATCCCAAGGTATCCATATAATCCTGGACCAGGCCGTATCCTGAGTTGATGCCATGGTGGTTATGGAGGAGTGGGGAGCATGAGACTGATTCCTGAAAGACCACCGTGACAAACGAGTCCCCGCATTGATCCTGTGGGCCAGCCTGTACCACATGCCGGTGCCCTACTCACACCTGCAGCTTCTCCACGATGGACGTCCAGCTTGTCCTGCCTCCGGCGCCTAGACTGCAGTTCCACACAGGAAGTTTCTACATTGTAAAAAGCGCAATAGAAAAATAAGCATGAATTTAATTAAATCTACATTATTATTATTATTATTATGTAAAAAAATATATTATTTAAGTGGACAAATTCTGACAGGAAAGTTTAATGTGCTGGCCAGTTTGGTATTTGCCTAATAAATGACAATTTACAGTTTTTAATTTAAAGCATAAACAGATTAATTTTCCCCTAAGGATATATGATGTGATGAATTTGTATTTTACCAAGAATACATACTCTATAAAAAACCTGATTGCCCTAATTTTTTAAAGGTGAATCAAATTCACCTTGTGAGTGTATTGAACTTAAACTATGTTAAATTGACTTAAATCAGCTTGTGTAACTTATCAAATAAAGTTAGAACATGATTAACTTACTTTAATAAGCTACAATGAAGTAAAAAATAAACATATGCTGTCAGGACTAATTGATCATATAATTTCATACATATATTTCACTAAAATGTAGTATTTAAACCTCATAGTTAAATAGAATATGAGGCGAATAACTGCAAAAGGTCTACTTTTTGAGAAAAATTAACCAACCTTTTCACCAAGCAGGCTAAGGGCCTGTCGTACCAAAGACTATAGAAAGACTGAATGGTGAAAAAAGAGTGACAGTCCATCACATAACAAACCGGATGTTTCCTGAGATGATTTCCTCTTCCAATAAGTGGGAGTTTTGATGAAAGTGCTTTAAATAGTCATGATGTCATTCGATATAGTCGTTCATTAATATCAGACAGAATATGAGGTCACTGAGTCATGAGGAGGAATTTTCACATCCCACCCTGAGAGGTCTATTTACGAGTGACATTATACGCACGACCACGCCTTCTACGACCGCTCCGCCTGACGTCAGTGTTATTGAAAGCCGCAAACCCCGCCTACCGCCGGGAGAACAGCTCTAACAAATCAGTCCGTGCCCGTGGAGCAGTACTGCGGATCGCGACTGTCAGTTCACTCATGCTGCGCACACGAGCTCTGGCTGCCGACTCCTGCATCTAGGGGCATCTCGTGCGACACTGCCCTTGGGAATATACATTTATACACACCGCAAACATGTCACGGAATCACAGGACAACGCTGAAAAACGAGGAGAGTGTGGTTGAGGTGAAGAGCAAAGTAAGTGAATCCCATAAATGTTGCATTAGGCTTCGTTTGACAGCGTGCATGTGTAAACACGGCTGTTTACGCGTGTTCCCGTAATTGGAATGTTTTCAATCCGGCGCATCGGTGTAGGGGGGCTTGTGTACTAATCCATCCATAGAGAGAAACGCTGATGGTGCTGTATGTGTCAGACTGCGAGGCGCGTTTGGCTGGGATCATTATGACAGCAGGTCTCTGTCCGGTCCGTGTTGATGTGATATATGCGGTTCTGGTGCAGTGTGAAGGACCTTACCGATAGACAGACGTGCGCAATGGGGCGATCGGGGCCCTGTTGATCAATTATGCATGTTACATACCAATAACGAAGAACCGAATCCCGCAGTCCTGGAAGAATCGGATGGTAATGATGCATTTGAGAGGCATTAATCACATTAGCGCGCCGAGTACTACGCTCGACGAGACGCTCGTTCTGGCTCTGTTGGCAGGATAAATTAGCTTGTTGTTCGTCGATTTCTATTAGAAAGCGGATAATAACAAACCAGGAAAAGTGTAGTTATTTGGAATACAGCTGGCATGAGGCCACAGGTAATCATTGCATTGCTGGTGTTTAGTGGTACAGCAAGATTGCCAGGGAAATTGTTGTTTGAATATTTAAATATTTTAGGTTTCATATTGATATTGACCATTTAGTTGATATGTTTCTTTTCTGTTTGTACAAATAGTTCCCAAAGAAGCATCAAGCTTTGAGTGTAACAGAGAAACACGCACTAAGATCCGGTTTGGATCGATGCCTGTGAGTGGAATGGTCAAAACAGGCTTTAATCAGCCGAGATGAACTCCACTCCGAGTTTTTCATCTTGTGTTATTGACGGAACAGCGCTCATCCCACCTAATAATGTTTGGTTTTCAGAACGTTTTGTTAATGTTAGTTTTTGGTTCTCAGAACATTCCGTTTTAAGGGTTTGCGTTTGGTTAGCCTACTAAAATGTTGTAAATATGAATTTGAATGTTTGGTTATGGTTTTCTAATTTTCCTAGAACGTTCCATTAACTTCTTTACGTCAAAATTATTTATTGTTTGTCAGTATCAATCCAGCACTTCCACAACAGAATGTAGCATATTGTATCCAAGCATTATCCTAAGGAGGACTAAATAATATATGTAAAGATAACAGGGAAACCAGATTTTAAGTTTCCCCAGCACCAAATCGTTCCAATGGTCTATTTACTACATGATGAGAGTCCAGGCCTGTATCCAGGGTTGCCGTTGGGGTGGTTTGGAACACCCACCCCTCACTGACAAAATCCAAAAGGTCCAAAATTTGTCCAATACATCTTCATTTGTCCTTTTTTTTGATAGTTATGCCATCATAAATAGTGAAAATAACCCATCGAAAAAATCATTAAAACCAATCGGGATCCTCTGTTGGCTGTCACTTCGGTGCAACTTCAGCTAATCAGTTTTGGCCATTGCCAACAAATATATTCATTTATTCCAACATCCAGCTACAAGAAAACATACAATCAGACGTAAGTGAAGTCATCTTTTGCTACTGTATTTTTTTATGGAGGAAAGTTTTTACAACAAACTTTTATTCTAATTTTTAACAAAAAAGGTGAATGAAAGGTGTGAAGCACCAAAAGCAGTCCGTATTTAAATGAATTTGAATGCTAATTCGGCTATTATTGTTTATTCTAAATCTTTAGGAAATATCTTTGGTACTTTAAAAAGTGTGGTTATGATGGCCATCCCACAAGTTAGTCTAGCTAAAAACAGTGTTTAAAATGTCACTAAAATGCAGTATTTAATCTCACAATTAAATAGAAAATGAGGTGTATAACAGCAAAAAGGTCCACTTTTTGAGAAAAAAAAGGACTACCCCTTTCACCAGGCTGGCTACGGGCCTGGAGTCCTGAACAAGCTTTCCCTTTTTGTATTTGAAAATTTTTTAGAACCGTCAAAACAATGTCAAGACCATACCCATTTATTATATTAAAATGCTTTATTATTCATGCCAGCAGTGTCACTTTCTAGAGAAGTGCAGTGTTTGTACACATGCAGGCTTGTAGACCGCAGTTGTTGTTTTGATTGTCAAACACTTACTGTAGGCATGCCTTTAGACTGAACTCATTGACTGACACAAGACATCACAATTTTCAATAAATAGTTTGACTCTCATAAAACCAATTACACCTCAAATTTGTTTGAGGGCTACAAAAAACATGTTCAATTTTTAGCTAAAAACTGTTGTATAAATATCACAAATGTTTCAGTGTTGTAATTCTAAACCTACATAATCCACAACAACAATCATGCATAATAATTATGATGAATATATATTTAGTCCGCCTGAAGATCAATATCTTTATGAAGTTACTACTTTTTCCAGGACTAGTTTAAAAAAACAGATGAGGCTTCTTTATATCTTGATTCTTCAATGAAATACAAATGTTGTTTAGGGAGTGAGATAATACGAAACATCTAGATTTTTTGTTGTTGATGATTTAACTCATTTTGAATAATTTATGATAAGTCTTATCGTGGCCCCCTTGGAAGCGTGCTGAAACTCTGTGGTTGTTAACCGCTGTTTTAAAGAATCGACTGTTTATACTATAAGTTTACAGTTGTCTAAATGAAAATGTCATCGTTATAAATGATGTCTGATGATTTCAGGCCAGACAGATGTGCAAACATGTTTGATTTAAGAGAGTAAACACATTACATCAGATGGTGCCTGAATGAACATCAACAGGCAGCATGAAAAAACATTTTGCACTGATATTTAAAGTCTGTGTCTCATATTTTATTACTTTCTTCATGACCTCTATTATTACTAAAGACACAGACCACTTATTGCTGGTCTCTGGTGTACTGGAGTTGTTTGTTGTCAGTGAGCCCAGTATACTTATTGGAAAACCTCAACCGCAATCTGCCATCTTCAATAGGATATATTTTATTATCCCTCCGCTTTTCCAGAATGTCCATAGATGTTTGTGAAAGAGGAGAATGGTAAACATAGGAGTCCTGTAATCAGATTTAACTGAACTCTGGTTCTGATATACTGTCCGTTTTATTATTATTTTTTGCCAGAACTGGCTAATTAAATCTCTTGAATCCTCCAGCATGAGGTTCTGGTTTCCATAACAGGCAGTGCAGTGCGTTTAGTGACACTCTTTTCTTCCTGAGAGGAAATTAGGAATTGTTTTCCTTTCTACTTTTCTGGCTCTTGATGGGATCCTGCCTCATATTATCTATCTCTTACTCATTGCAGTGGTATTTAAGTGAACATGTTGTTTGAGGTTTGTGCCGAACTATTCACAGTAATGTCTTTTTTTCCTACAAGCCATGTTTACACTGTAAAGTATGATAGGTATGGCCTTTTTAAACTGTATTGATCTGGTTACTGTGGTGATGCACACACAATTAGCTTGTGCTAGTTTTTTTTTGTAAAACAGAAAGAAGGAAACAAAAGATTAATAGCTAATAAAATTTGGTATTTAAAAGGAGTTAATGCTTTCAAAATGAGAAATATATATAAAAAGTTAAATTTATCATTGAAATAATTGAGTTTGTTTTGATTTACAAACTACCAATGATATTACTTCTTAATTTAAAAATAAAATTTAGATAAAAAAAGACAGTATTTAAAATAACAAAAAAGTTTTAGATTTTGTTTCTACTAGGGTTCGATCACTGCTCTCTTGTTAGGGTGCACTCACACTATGCTATCCGAACTGTGCCCAGGCGCATTTCCCGGTTCGTTTGAGAAGTGTGAGTCCTCTAAATCGGCCCTGGCTTGGTTGGAAGAAGTGTGCCAGACAGCAGTTCACTTGGGCTCCGGTGCGGTATGCTTGTAGTGTGAGTGCAAAGCGTGCCTGAGCCCGAAACTGAAGACGCGACGTGCAATAGACTGTTTCATATGGATTTATTAATCATTCTTACCTTTCAATGAATGCAAACTGTCGTAGATTATTAAAAACGCAAACCCCTCACTGCACGACAGCTGCACCCCCAGCAAACCCCCTCATACCTGCAGCACTAGTCGACTTTTATGATTATTTATGAGCGACAAAAATGGCTGATATGTTCGGCGAATTATTTGACTGTGTCACTGCATATCAAACAACTAAAATGATATAACTAAAGAAATCTCTACTGTGCTGAGCTAGAGAGTTTCTCTTCTCTTCTCTCCTAAACTGGCCAGCGCATCATCGATGACGTAAGCGTACTCCGGCTCGGATGCAATGTAAGTGCAGGCAACTGTACATAGTGTGAGTACACCCTAAAAGGACTCAATAAATGGATTCCATATTACATAAAAATTCTTCGCTTTATTTTTAAGGGAAAGTCTGAGCTTCTCAAGTTGCAGGCTGGACTTGCCATTTTTAATTAGTGTGGTGCAGTGGGGAGGATCTTTTCGTTTCCAAATTAGTAAAATCAATATGTCCCAAAGCGTTATAAATCTTATCACTATACGTTGATTTTTAGACAATTCTATGTTATCACTGACACCAAATATAGCTAAAATGGGCCCGGGGAGTGCTTCATTTGAGCCGGTTCTTGTGGGATCCTATTCTGGGAAATGCCAGATATTCGTGTTTTGCTTTCTGGAATTCATTTTAATTGATCCGGCATTAATTTTTGCGTGGTGAATACCTGCATGTGTGTGTTTGAAAAAGAGAAATGTGAATGAGTCTAAGTGAAAAACAGCGATCAAAGCTGTGTGGATTGTGTGTGCACGCACACACATAAAGATCAATCAGCTTTCTTACATTTACAATCACTCTTATTGGTTGGTGATTATTGTTTCGCGTGCAGTGAGCAGCGAAAATAATGGCATAGTGGCCTACATAAATAACATTTGTTTTTTTCAAAATACCAGAGGCAGTTAAGAATATTTTTTAAAAAACAATGAAAATGGGCCTGATCAAGAGAAGATGAAACTGCGCCCCTGGATCAGGATAGCAGGAGACAGAAGCAAATAAGCGATCTCAAGTCAGCCAGAAAACATGACA